GAAAAAACTAATAATAGTAGTGGTAGTAGTAGTAGTGGTACTGGTCGTACTAGCAGTAGCAATAATACTAGCAATGTTAGCTATGGTCGTCGAAGTAAAAACTGTACGATATAGCACCAATAGTAATAACAAGAAGCCGTTCTTTGGCAAAGGCACTAACGTGCACTGCGCCGTGCAAAAAAAAACGGGGGCTAAAATCGTTGCCCAACACGCGCGGCAGAATATCACGAACAATGCGCAAGTTGATGGGAATAGGGGACATATAGGGGACATGGTGATTGTGATAGGGATGCGTGCGCTGGCGAAATTCATGTTGATGGCGACAGTGATAATGCTGAGTGGTGGAACGAAGCAAGCAACATAATGATGACAGCGACGATGCGGAGGATAATACGGACGATGATGGTGAGGATGGGGATGATTATGCTGATGGTGAGTGTTTGTGGTGGCTGTGGGTCGTGGTGGCGGTCATGGTGGACCTGATGATCATGATGGTACGGAAGCAGGGTGACCATAATTCGTTTTGAAAAGGAATGGCTGGGAATATGGAAATACCCACAAAGGGGGACCGACTGTAATCCGCCACCAATGGAATCCGATTGTAAACCGCAACAAAATAAATTCATATGTAACCCCATACAGAGGACTTGTTTTGCAATGTGCCACATAAGGAATACTTGTGTCGTCCGCCACAAAAAGGGATAAGTGTGTAACCAACCACAGAAAGAATAAATTTGCAATCCGTTCCAAAAAAGATGAACGTGTAATCAACCACCAATGGAATACATATGAAAGGCAACCACGCAAGGATCCGCCAGGGGTTGAAGATATTTCGCTTGCAGTTTTAGGCCAGGCGTTGAGGATATTTCGTTGGCAGTTTTGGAGTTCGGGGGTGAGGATATTTAGCTGGCAGTTTTAAGCCAACGGCAATGAGGAGATTGCGCTGGCAGTTCCAACCGAAGGGTGTGAGGGTGCTTCGCTGGCAGCTTTAAGCGAGAAGTGTGAGGATATGTCGCTGCCAATTGTACGGCCTGGCGGTGAGGGTATTTTGCATACGTAGCCAAGCAGCACCATGTGCCGCGCACGGGACGACGAGGGGGGAATGGGTGAGAGGGAGGACGGAGGACGAGGACGAAGAGGAGATGGCGAAAAGGGGGGGGGTCGAAGGTAGGGGGGCTGAGAGAAGTCGTGGTCGGTGCGGGCATCCACGCGCCACGAGATCAGCGCTGGGTCTTGCCCAGCCTGGCCCAGCCGAAGGTACGCATGCGGCGCGGTGCTGCAACCGTATGTATGTGTATATATATATATATATATATATATACACATATATGTTCCAATTCTGAAACTCTTACTACCCGGACCCCCCCCTAAACCGGACCACCACCACCCAGGACACCCCAGACGCCCCTGCCCTCCACCCAACGAACGCCCTGGACGCCCTGCCTTCCGAGCAGTTGGACGCCCCTACCGATCGGAGCCCACGGGCCCAAAACGGTCCCCAAGACGGCCCAGCGGCGCTCGAAGAGGACCCACTATGGTTTCAAGACGGCCCAAGACGGTCCATCGGCGCTCAAAGAGGCCCCCAAAACGGTCCAAGAGGCCCCAAAAGAGACCCGCAAAAACCAAAAATTATCCCATTCCCTGAGGATACGTACGCTTTTGAATATATCAGCTTTTTCCGCTCTCACAGCGTCCACGGCATCCCCAGAGACTCTCAATTCGCACCAGGACTGCCTCCGAGGCCTCTATGAGCGGCCCTAGGCGGCCCAAGAGAGCTTCAAGACGGATCAAGATCCAAGACGGATCAAGAGAAGCCCAAGGCGGTCCAAGAGGGGCCCCAGAGGGCCCCGAGAACTCCCAAGAGAGCCCCAAGAGAGCCCCAAGAGAGCCACCGGAGGCCCCCAAGAGTGTCCCAAGAAGGCCTCCGAAAAGCCCTTGGCCGGCCTGGCCTCCCAAACAGGCCAAAAGAAGGTTCCGGGACGGCCCAAGAGGGCTCCAAGACGGCCCAAAACAGCCCATAACGTTCCAATACAGCTTACAGCAGTTCTCTTACACTCCACGAGGCCGTAGTTCGCAGGACGGTGGTTCGAAAGGACCTCAGAAGCCCCACAAGCGTCCAGGACCCCATCCAGGCATTCAGGAAGCGACCAATCGTCGTCGCCGCCGCCGTCGTCGTCGTCGTCCTACGGAGGAGCAGGAAGTCTCGGCCTGTCATCACGGGCTGCCGCCTCATTCTTGCGTAGCCCGCTTACTGACGCCCCGAGCACTCGCTCCCGCGGCCTGCCCGAGAGGAGGAGCAGGAGGAGCAGGAGGAGCAGGAGGAGAAGGAGGAGGACGACGACGACGAGGAAGGGCAAAGTTTCTGAGCGCTTCTGGTCCCATCGGGAGCTTCCAGAGGCCCTCGAGAGACGAGCGCCCCATCAGCAGTTCAGACGAGAGCCCCATCGTCGTCGTCGTTGTGGTCGGCGTCGTCGTCGTCGTTGTGGTGGTTGTGGTGGTGGTGGTGCTGGTGGTGGTGGTGGTCCTTGTGATCGTGGTCGTATTCGTGGTCTCGACGCCCCCTTATTGCATTTCCGAGAACCGTCCGGAACAAGGCGCATGGCACGAAGCGCGAATGCAGTCTTGTGTATATGTATATACATATATATATAGATATACACACATATATATATGTGTGTGTGCTCGCCCCTTAGCGTGGGGCTGGCAGGGGGCCAAGGGGCGAGCTGTCAGGTGTTCAGCCTCCACATGAGTCATCCATGTGTGGTAGACCACAGCAGGCATCCTCTTCGTAATCCGCCACTAACAGAGCCCACTTGTACTCCGCCACAAAAAAATCCCTCTAAGAAGGCTGCCACAAAATCAATGTTCCGACCATGCCGCATTACAGCAATGTTGAATATAAGAAGAAGGTAACGAAAACAGCCCTCCCCCCCAAAAAAACGTGACGAAGATGCAACACACACACAACCATGCGGTGGCACACACACACATGTATCGGACAACCCCACGGTGGGGGGTTATACCAAAGGCCTTCGTGGCGGCGCCAGCATGGCCCCGCCCCATTTCGGCACACACTGTGCACGCTTCGTGGTCCCATGAGGAGATCCACCGCAGGAGATGCCCACAACGGCAAAACTCACAATTGCATATGGTTGGGTCCTTCGCCAAGATAACTCCTCCAGAGCTTTCTTCTTCGACATTTTGGGACGAGGGACTCCTGCGATTTCTGTCACTGGGCGATCGAGCAATCGAGCGTGGCCATCGATCGCCAGTCTCCGTGCGCCCATCGTTTCTGTCTATGCAGCGCTGTCGCTTTTAATCCAAACTGGAGGCAAGGAAATCGCCTGCGATGCTTGGTACGGAACGATCGAGATCGGGGGAACCAAGCAACACCGATACCGCTACTCCCAGGACCTCTCCTTGTGCGCGTTCTGAGCGGAACTTAAGGGAGACTCCAGCCGTGACGACGAAGGCTCTCCAGGACGAGCAGCGGAATCGGTACCCTTTCATCCACTGACAGACTGGGGGCGAGGAAGTCGCCTGCAGTTGTTTGTTTGTGCGGAGCCATCGAGCAATCGATCAGAGCTAGGCGGTTGCGGGCAACAGTTATGTCCATATCCAGTGCGTCTTGGACTTTCTTGGAAGTGGCGCCGCAAGGCCGATGCGCACTGGATATCATGAAAGTCGAGCCTCTAGGGACCCGATCCTTATCCATATCCAGTGCGCCTCGGGCTTCTGGGGAAGGGAGCCCGAAACTCCAAGCTCCAGTGGCAACTCATGGGAGCCTCCCATGCCATCTTGCCGGCCCTTGCGAATCGACGCTAGTCGACCCGAATCGACCCGAATCGACGCTAAATCGACGCTACATCGACGCTGCATCGACGATACTCGACGCTCATCGACGCTGAATCGGCGCTGTCTCATCGACTACCAGGCGCCAGACGACGCGAATGCACTCTACAGACAGAGTTGCGAGTGCATACGAGGCTCCCACTATGTGCTACTGGACAAGCTTTAAGTCAGGCTTGTCCCCCTACAGGCGGTGTCTGGGCGAAACATGAAAAATAATAGAAACGTATTCAAACATAGCCAACAATAGAATCAAAAACATTGTCTCCAGACAATGTTTTTACTATGTTTGAGCATCCCTCCTGTAGAGGGACAGGCCCGATTCAAGACAAGCTGCAGAGAACAGGGACACAGACCTTGCCCGCGGCGGCCGTGCAACTGGCCTCCGTGCCCGCGCCCCCCGGCGCGCGGGCGCTCAGGACGCCCGCGCCGAAGGGAGCGTGCCGCAGGCTCGGGGGCGGCTGCCGAGAGGAGCAGCACGCGCCCGCGGGGATGCAGGTCGGGAGCCTGCACCGATATGGAAAGCGAGGGCCCTCAGGAGGCGACTCCTGGGAGGACTCGTCGGCGGCGAGAGGGGGAAAGATGTGGGGAGGAGAAGGCCCTCTCAGGAGGCGGCGGGGCTTCTCGGAAGCCCCCAGCGCCTTCGGAGGAGTCTCCTGTGTCTTCGGGGAAGACTGAGAGACCTTCTCAGAAGGCCGGGGGACTTCCGAGCCGTCTGAGAAGGCCCGCCCCTTCTCACTTCCACCCCTCGCTCCCCTCAAGTCTTAGAGTGAGAACGATCAGATGAAGAGCATGGACCACATCCACCGAGAACTCATCTTCTCCTCTGAAAAAAATGAAAGCTGTTCAACCAGATTGAGGGGCCAGTAAGCCCGACGAGCCTAGATTGAGCCCAGGACTACGCCAAAATTAACCGATTGCGCGGGGCGAAACCGGATTAAGCTGGACTTGGCGGAATCAGGCTTGTTTCAGACTACAGATCTACCAGCGCCGATGCTGAATTCAACCTGCCAGAAGTTGCATCCTCAGGGCCCGATGCGCAAGGCTGGTCGCCTACACGCAAGGAGTGGCCCTGGGGATGGTGACGAAAGGGATTGTTGAGCGAGGGCGGAGAGTGAGGGTGAAGTAGTCTGTGGCGGAGGACGGGATGAGGAGGTCGGGAGAAGGGCGGACAAGGGTGCACGAGGGTGGAGGAGGGTGCACGAGGGTGCCCGAGGTGCACCAGGGTGCACGAGGGTACACGACGTGATTCTAGTCGCTGGGCTCGCACTCCTCTGGCCCCTGGCCCTTGTACGCGCGGCGCGGCTTCACCTTCTTCGTGGGCTGCGGGAACGGGATCCGCACGCCATTCTTCAGGAGAACCGGCTTGAAGAAGGCCGGCACGTCATCGCTCATCAGGGGACTGTTCCGATAGCGCTTCACATTCTCCCTGAGGCCCTGGCAGACGCTCCAGTGCGTGGCGCACGCCTCCGTGGAGAACGACGACGGCCAGTCAACAAAGCCCTCGAACGCGAGCTTGAACTCCTCCGCTCGCTCCGCCGTGGTGAGATTGACGAAGCAGTAGCCGACGCCGAGCATCTCGGTGCGCTTCACGGGGACGTAGACGAAGTCGACCCACGGAGAGAAGCCCATGGACTCCAGCAGGTCGATCGCCAGAGGCCGAGAAGTTGGCATCAACACCATTTTGTCGGCGGTCCCCGCCGCCGAGCCCACCGAGGGAGGACTTTCGTTGGCGTGTTTGTAAATTCGGCGTTTCGACATTGGGCGGAAGGGGGGGGGACGGGGGGCTCTGGCTCCAGACCTCTGCTTGGTGCGACTGTTTGCAGGAGTGCTGCCTCTGGGGGAGACGCAACCCGCTCGAAACAGGCGCGAAAAAACAGCCAAGATCTACTCCATGTGGGGGGGGAGAGGGGGGTTGGGGGCCCGCGCCCATCGGCGAAACAATGAATAAACAACGATCACCTTCCCCGACCCCGCTGGTGGTAATGTTTGGACCTCACGGGTGGCCTAACTTGATCAGGAATCTTCGTATATCGGGATGAAGAATTCGGTTTCCCCGCGACGCCGTCGACGACGATGGCGGTGAGGATGACTTGATTCCGTCAGACTCGCCAGAAACGGTGCAGAAATGACTGTTTGCCCCTTCCCTGGGACCGATTTTGCGAGCACGTCCAAAGCGAGGGCGCCAGTTGCGGATTCTGCGTCAGATTAGATTTAGGTCAGGCGTGTCCTCCTACAGGCGGATCTTGTAGAACAAAATTAAAATAGTCAGCAAATGCTCAGAAATAATCAGAAATAGTCAAAACTCGTCCCCTGACCCCTGACTATTGTTTAAACTATTTTTGAATATTCCTCCTGTAGAGGGACAAGCCCGACTGAAGATTGGCTTCCTTAAAATTTGCCAGGCTCGCTGGACAGGTGTCGCGGCCTCTCCCCGGGGGCACATTTTGCGAGGATGTCCCCCGCGAGGGCGCCAGATTGGGAGGCTGCGTCCGTCGGGTTCCTTCAAACTTCCTTCGCCGGAGAGGGTGCAGGAAGCAGAGTTGTTGGCCTCACTTCCTCGCGCGCCCAGGGTCGGGAAGACGTAAGTCCCACATGGGCTCTTGTCAAGCTAGAACCGGCGCCGAAAATCCAGGGTCGCCTCCCCGTGTTGGGGAGCCCACAGAAGATGCACGCGCCCAACCACGTACATGAATACGGCCCCCCAGTCCGCGCGACCAGCTTCGTGATACGAACGTTCACGCAATGCGTACTTTCGAAACGAGCGTCGATTGATTCACGTGCGTGTGCGTCCTTGTTTCGCTCCTGACGTGTGGAGGCCGCCAGTGCTGCCGCCAACTTCTGGGCCTCCGTGATCAGCGAGTCGCACGTGTAGGACTGGGGGACGTTGCGTAGCATCACCGTGGTCCACTGCGGGGACTTCGGGCCGCTGCCGCCGAGCCTGGAGGAACAAACAAGCATACACAAACATACGCAGTGGGAGCCAACGAACGAACGACCACTAATGCGGCCAGCAGTCCGGGCCTACTTGAGACCAGGTGAGTGAAGCCGTGGCCTCCGAAATACGATTGTGTATGGTGAGGCATGCATGAGAAGCATCTAGGAAATTATGTGAAACGGAGTGGACGGGGAGGAGGATGGGGAGGAATCCTTATTGTTGGAGTCGTCGTGTATCGGTGTTGTTGTGTCGTTGGGTGGGCGTGTCGTCGTAACGAATGCTCAATGGTGGTCTGCGTTGGTGCCAGGTCGTATTTTTTTGCAATTGGCTGGGTCTTGTCTGGGATTGGTGTTGGTGTTGGTGGAGGGTGCACATGTCGTAGTACATTGCAGTCGTCGTCGTCGTCGTCGATTTCCTTCAGGGTCGGCGGCGTTGGCCGTCAGGCCGTCGCAATGTTCGGAAACCCGCACGGACCTCCGAGAGCTTTACGGTCAGGGGTTTGTGCCTGACGCGTCGCGGTGGCGGCCCCTGCGACGCGCTGTGTACTGCAAGCGGGCACCGTGTGGGGCGGGAGGCCGGTTTAGAGCTCGGGGCGCTGACGGTGGAGGGCCCGGGCGTGGCTCGCGTGACGCGCCACGGCGTGGTGGGCAAGGGCCGGCGGCGCGACACGCCTGGCCACAGTCTCTGGCCGCACCGTACTGTCTGCCAGAAGAGATGCTGACGCCACCGCCCCCGAGAATCGATCGGGAGGGGGGCCGACCCCAGAGCGGTAGCACGCCCGAGCGTCACCCACTACCGGACGACGCTCAGGCATGCCACCGCCCGGTGGTGGCTCCGTCCCCGACCCCCCGATGGATAAGGCGGACCGCAGTGGTTCCTGCTTCTCGCCCGACTTACTGCCCTTTTCGAAATCAACGCCCAGAAACCAAGAGTACCAGAAGGGCCCCTTCCCCTGGCACCCCAAATCTCAAAATTTGCGGACGACCGCGCCGGAAAGGAGCGCGAAGTGTTGCAAAACAAAGCCCGGTCTCGCGAACAAAACCCATCGCTTCCCCTTCAATCTGGAAGCGCGGGGGCGAGGGGGGGCGTTTTTTCCGCTTACTGCGCAACCAGCGGTGCACTGCGGTCGCGGCCGTCAGAAACTCTCACAATGAACCGAGTCGTGAAAGTCCGCGCGCGGAAAAAATCAGGGGGGAGCCGAAGGCACACCGACTGCAGCAGTTTCGCAACGCCCGCGGAAAGTCGCCGCGCAGCGCGCGCTGCCAAGAAACCCAGGGCACCCTGACGAACATCGTATGGCTTCTTGCTGCGCGTCCCCACTGTATGGTTTCTTTTCTTTCTTGCGACGTGCTCGCTGAGCGGTCGTGACGCCGCGCGGCGGCGACCCAACGCCTCGAGAGGCGGTGCCCGGCTCAGGCGAGTGCGCCTTATTTTTTGGGGGGGCGCCACACACGACCCGCACAGGGAAGTGCAGGACTGCGCGTGTGACAGCATGGCTTCTTTCGGGGACGCACTGACCCGGGTCAATCCTGATGGGCATGTTTTCCACCACCACCACCATAACTGGGAGGGGGAGGGGGTCCTCCTCCTCCTCCTCCTCCCCCTCCTCCTCCTCCTCCTCCTCCTCCTCCTCCTCCTCGTCCTCGTCCTCCTCCTCCTCCTCCTCCTCCTCCTCCAACTTATGGTGGTGGTGGTGGAAAACAAGACCATCAAAACGAACAACGGGTTAGTCGGGCTTTGCAGAGTCCTGCGCGATCCTCCAGGATTCTGCAGCATCCTGCGCCCCAGCCCGGGGCCATGCGGTCCCGGCGCCGCAGACATCCTGCAAGACCCGGCGCTCTGCCTGACCCCCACTTGCTGCTGGGACCCTCGCCTCTCGGCGGTGGACAAACCGCGTGTCCCCCTACAGGGGGATTTTGGACGAATAAACAAAATACTCATAAAATACTCCCCAAATGCCCAAACATATGTTAAAACAAAAAATCCCATACCATTTTTTACCTATTTTTGAATAAATGTTCCTCCTGTTGAGGGACAGGCCCGACTTAACTTTCGTAAACCACCCTTTCGTAAAAACGGCCTGGGACCTAAACCGACAGACCTTGACCCGCAACAGTGCCGGCCGCGACGCCCCCGCGCGAATCGAACACGGCCCATTCGCCAAAATCGACGCGTCAGGGATTAGGAGGTCTGTCAACCTCCGAGTCTCTTGTGCCCCGCGCGTATTCTTCAAGGATCTTCTCACCTGGGTCAATCCAGATCCGGGTCAGTCAGGCCTTGCAGAATCCTGCAGAATCCTGCAAGATCCTGCAAGATCCTGCACCCAAACCCGGGTCAACGCGAAAGATCCTGCAGGACCCTGCACCCAAGCCCGGGTTCATGCCACCCTGGCCCTGCAGGATCCGGAGAGATCCGGCGCCCTGGCTGACCCCCGTTTGCATTGACCCCCGTCTCAATGCTCCCGACATTCTTTGGACGCCCGAGTTATCCGGGGTAACTCGGGTCCGGGGTAACTCGGGCTTGGGTTCCCGAAAAACGAACCCGAGTTAGCCCTGACCCGAGTTACCCCTGATGATTCGGGGGCTCTGGACGCCCGAAATATCCGGGGTAACTCGGGTCCGGGGTAACTCGGGTTCGGAATCCCGAAAAATGAACCCGAGTTAGCCCTGACCCGAGTTACCCCTGATGATTCGGGGGCTCTGGACGCCCGAAATATCCGGGGTAACTCGGGTCCGGGGTAACTCGGGTTCGGAATCCCGAAAAAGGAACCCGAGTTAGCCCTGACCCGAGTTACCCCTGATGATTCGGGGCTCTGACATTCTTGTCTCCTCAGAGCGCCGGGGCCGCTGGCCCATCATCCGGAGGCCCTTCGGGACGAAGGGCTCGGCCTGGCTGCGGAGGGGCGCGAACGCGGCGGCACGGCTGCGGAGGGGCGTGCGCCCGGCCGGGGCGGCCGCGCCCACCTGCGGGCAGCACCGCAAAGGGGGGGGGGGAGGGGCAACAAGGGGCCCAGACCTCCTCGCGTCGTGAACAAATCACGACGGCGGTTTTTCGCTATCTTCGGCCCCTGGGGACCATCACCGGCCCTCGGGACCGTCACAAAACGGCTCGGGATGAGAAACCAGTCCCGGGGAATGGGCCCGGACCTCTGGGGGTCGCGTCATGAAAAATCATGACGTCGGGGGTCTGGGGGAAAGGGGATCGCCACCGCCTCGAGAAGAACCAGGGCGTGCTTCGAGCAGGGGATCGACTACAGAGTTGATCTACCCCGCAATCGAAATTGTCTGAGATCTACAGACGACAATGCGTCGAATGCTCGTGGAGTAAACAACGAACTGCACACGTAACCAGTTGCTCTGCAGATTCGACGCACAGGTCGATTATGGGGTACATGTCTTCTGAAGTCGATCCTCTGCTCGAGTTTGCCCGTCGCGACGACCCCGGCGCTGGTGGCTCTGACACCGCGCGGATCGTTCGGCACTGTCAGAGGTCGCGACTCTCCGAACGCGCAGATCGCTCGACGTGGGAGGGGTGGCCGCTGGTGGCGCTCAACCTCACACGCCCGCGGTGTGGTCGTCGCCGAATCGACACGGCACGAATCCTCCCAGACGGCAAAAGAGCCAGGCTCGCGCGCGCGGAGGTCTTCAGAATCGCACCAAGCGCTCCCAGGCGCTCTTAGGCGCCCCCAAGCGTTCCCCAGGCGCGTAACAAGGCACCCCTAAAACCAGTGCCCTTCAGAAGGCGCACCCTAGGAAGAAATCGGACAGGACAAGGCCATTCAGCGAACGCCCGGGACCGCGCAGCAAGCGCAAAGTGTGCGGAGAGAGGTGGTTTTCTTCCCCCATTGGCCACAAGACCCTCCCCCAGAAAATCCACAGAATAGGGCGAGAACGATGTCAAGATACGATTGGCTCAGGATACGTTCCAGGATTTCTAAGAATATCCAGCTGAAGCGGCACATTAGGAAACATGTGAAATTCTGGAAGCCTTGGACATCCTGGAACGTATCATTATCATGACCTCTTGCTCCTCTGACAGAACCTCCCCCCGATGCCTCAAATCTCCCCCCCTCAGGTATTCCACAGGTATTCCCGATATTACCACAGGTATTCCCGATATTACCCGCTTGGGCCTTTGGCAGGGCGGGGCGAGAGGTACCGACACCGCTCGGTGATCTACTGACCCTGGGTCAATGCACACCTCGGTCAGTCTGGCGTTGCAGGAAGCTGCAAGATCTGGCGGTGCGCACAGGTGGGCATGGGGGAGGGGGGAAGGCTTCTTAGAAAGCTGCTTCTTTCGGGGATGGACAGACCCCCCTTTAGCAAAACGTGGTTTAGTGAAAACGACCTGAGGCCCAAGCCTGGAAAATAACGGCCACGGCGCCCTCTCGAAAACCGAAAACGGACAATTCACTAATCGACGTGTCACTGTTGGGGGTTCTGTCCACCCCCGATTCTTAGGGGGTGTCGGTCCTACATCTGTAGATATGGCCCGTACCTGCTAAGAAGCAGAGGTGCTTCTAGGACGCCTTCCCCCCTCCCCTTCCCCCCCTTTGCGCGTGGCCGAAGGTGAGGGGCCCCAGGACACACAAATAAATACACACAAATAAAAATATTCCCCATATGTTCCCATATGTTCTGGGTTTTTGTCTTCCCCCCACCTCCCATATTTTCCTATATTTTCTGGGGAATCGCCGATTAATTGTGTCTGTGTGTTTCTTTCCCTCCTGAGAAAGATCCTGCAGGATTCTGCAGGATCCTGCGCGCTAGCCCGGGTCAATGCAAACCTGGCTTTGCAGGATCCTGCGAAATCCGGCGCTCTGGCCGAACCCCGTCTGCAGTGACCCTCGCCTCAATGCTCCCGAAGGTGCCGATACACCGCTGCTCCCTGGATCTCTGAGGGGCTGCGTTCTGACCACGATGACGGGGAGCATCCGGTCGTGGCGGCGGTGGGCTCTCAAGGACGAGCCCGGCATGGGTACATTTTTTCCTCCCCTTACTAGGGGAACAGAAAACGTTGGGCGCGAATTCATGGGGGGGCGATGCATGGGGGGGGGAGGGGGGCGAAGGGTACCCTCTTCGGGCCCTCAAGGCCCCGCTCTGGGGCCTAAAGGGCCTCTTCAGAGGCCCTAAAGGGCTCTTTTCTGCAGCCCTCACTGCCCCGCCATTGCTCGTCCACCCCATTGCGCGTCCTCCGAAAACGGTACGACCAACAAACTTTCTTCGGTGGCGCGCAAACATGGACTAGCGATCCATGGATTTGGCGCGCGGTCGCCAAGTCCATGGATCGGGGGAGGTGCCCTCCCCAAAATGCGGCCAAAGCCGCCTCGCTCGGTGGCGGAAATCCACGATTTCCCATGGAAACGGGACCCGTCGCTAATCCGCGCGCACTTGATCCATGGTTTTGGACGCCCGAAATGGGTACGGATAAAATGGGTACAAAGCCCAACAACAAGTGTTGTCCCAAACCATCAGCGGCCGCTGTTGGGCAGGCGGCCTTCTGTCTCAAATGTACACAGGCCGCGGCGACACCGACAGCGGTTCCTGTTCATAATGCACAGGGACCGCTGTTGGGCATTGTACCCAGTCTTTCCGTACCCATTTCGTTCGTGCCGAATGTTTGCGATCGCCTGAACATTGCGCGTCCTCCGAGAAGGCCACGGCCCGCAAACTTGCTGAGGCCCGCGCGGATGTCTTGGATCGGCGATGGAGCCCCCCCCCCTGGCGGCAGGCTCCGCTCGCGGGGGGGAGGGGGAAATCGAGCGCAGACCCAAGAGATCCGCGCGGACCTCCGGCAATTTGTCAATGCTAATTTTAGGTCGGGCGTGTCCTCCTACAGGCGGATCTTGGAGGAACAATTAAAACAAACATATTCACATAATACTCACAGCATAGAAAAGTACTACAACATCGTCCCCATACTATGCTTTAAAACTATGTTTGAAGATTCCTCCTGTAGAGGGACAGGCCCGACTTAATGCTAATTCCATGCTTCGCTCCTCTACTCAAAGAGCTCATCAAGGACGTACGCGCCCAACAACGTACATGAATACGACGCCCCAGTCCGCGAGACCAGCCTCGTGACACGAACGTTCGCGGAATGCGCATGTTCGTAACCAACGTGGGTCCATGTACATGTACTTGGCGGCGCGAAAAAAGGGACTGGAGGGAGGGGGGAGGGCTTCTTAAAAGGAGGCTGCTGCTTCTGAGAAGGCGCCACCCCTGCATCTGCAGATCAGGTTTGCTGTTTTGGACGTGGGTTAGAGTCAAGCGCTAACCTTCGGTCGGGCCTGCCCCCCTACAGAGGGATTTCGGGCGAACATTCTTTTTAACACCAGAAATACTCCGGACATGCTGAACAATAATCAAAAAAATCGTCCCCAGGCTATTTTTTGACTATTTTCGAATTTTCCTCCTGTACAGGGACAGGCCCGACTGAAGCCGTGCCCTACACCGCACACCGACAGCCAGAGGGGACCGCACGAGGGCCCGACCGGCGAGTGCACAGAGGCAGGGCCCCCACCCTTCCAAGAAGCACGGGGTGCTCCTAAGAAGCCCTCCCCCGTTCCCCCCTGACCTTCCCTCGTCCTCCTCCTCCTCCTCCTCCTCCTCCTCCTCCTCCTCCTCCTCCCTCCCTCCTGCCTCCTCCCTCCTCCCTCCTCCCTCCTCCTACTCCTCCTCCACCCCCTCCTCCACCTCCTCCTCCTCCTCCTCCTCCTCCTCCTCGGGTCGCTTACGGCCCCAGGGGTAACCGTGCACATCCAGGAGGGCTAAAAAATAGCACCAGGACCTCGACCTCTTCTTTCCTGCCGAGGTTTTGGGCAGTCCAGACAGGTCTGCAGGTCTGGAGGGCTGTTTTCTGGCACTCTGGAAGGTCAGGGCCCCTCGCCCCCCTCTGCGCGTGGCTGAACCTGCGTGCCCGTCCTTCGTGAGTTCTTGAGAGGCCTCCAGTTTGGTGTTCGAGTCTTAGCTGCCCCGATACGCAACACGCAACACGTATCGTACTGATACGGAGCTTAACACGTAGGCTGAAAACGCGGGTCCGACGCGACACATTCGCCAAAACGTGGTCCAATATGCGGAACCAACACGCAACGTATTGACACGGACGTCTTGAACACGGGACGTGTTGAGTCTCAGAACGGGCGTATCGAGGCAACAAAGGTCCGAGTAGCTGAGGTTGGAGGATCGCGCCGCATCGCCAATGCATCGGCGATGCGTTGGCGATGCATCGGCGACATTGGCGGCGCATCGGCGACGCCAGCGTGGAGACGATCAGGCTCTACATCGAGCCGCATCGGCGATGCATCGGCGATGCATCGGCGATGCGGCGCGATCATCCGACCCCATCCACTCGGACCTCATCTATTGGGAGTCCACGAAGAACGTACGCGCCCACCCACGTGCATGAACACGACCCCCCCATCCCCGAGACCCGCCGCGTGATACGAACGTTCGCGCAACGCGTACTCTCGATACCAACGTGGATTTGTTCACGTGTACGCTTAGTGGGCTCCGGAAACGGCAAGGCCGTTAATTCATCGTTCCCGAAACGACGTCTCTTGAATACGGAAACGTAGAAACAGAACGGCAACCAACAACGCCGAAAAAGAAACGGCTCCAAAAATTGGAACCAAAACCAGAACCGGCAGCAAGAAGCGACGGGACACGAAACAAAAGCCTCGCCGGAACCGTAACAAACGGCAAAGCGGAACGGGTGACAAAAACGGCCCTGTCGTTTCCAGGGCCCACTGAGCGTGCACGTCCTTCTTTCGCTCCTGAATCTAGGAGGCGCCGACCCCCGACGTCATATGCTTGTCATAACGCCATCCCCGAGGTCCAGACCCGTTCCCTGGGGCCGGCGCTTCACCCTGAGTCGTTTTTTTTTACGGCCCCGAGGCCCGGTACGGGCCCCCAGAGGCCGACCATAGCGAAAGCCCTCCCGTCGTGACTCCTTGTCACGACTCGAGGGGCTCCGGGCTCTCCTGGCTCTTGGATCCGCAGGAGGCACGGGCTCCTTCGCTCCCGACTGCCGACCCCTCTTTGGCACTGCCCGCCGCCTCGCGCTCGAGCTCGAGCCCCGGGGGCGCCAGCCCCGGGGGGAGGCCCAGGCCCGCGGGCCAGGCGGGCTCGAGGTCCAGGGAGAGGTCCTCGGCGGCGGCGCGCGAGGCGGGGAGGCGAGGAGGAGGCCCCCCTCCCCGGACCCCCCTCGCGCTGTGACAGAGATCACGGCGGGAGGTCTTTCGCTGCTTGCGGCCTCTCGGGGCCCTTGCCGGGCCTCGGGGCCGTCAGAAAACGACTCAGGATGAGAAAGCGGTCCTGGGGAAAGGGTCCAGACGTCTTGGGGGGTCGCGTCATAAAAAAGCATGACGTCGGGGGTCTGGGGGGGATGTGAGAAGAAGGAGGCCTTCTCAGAAGGCGGCGGGGCTTCTCAAAGAAGGCCCCTCGCCTCCCGAGTTTTGCTTGTCCGTGTCTTCGGGGGGAGCTTGGATCCCAGACCCCCGACGTCATGATTTTTCATGGCCCGACCCCCAGGAAGTTCGGACCCATTCCCTGGGACCGGTTTTCATCCTGAATCGTGTTTGTCGGTCTGGAGGCCGGCTATACAGTGCGGGCGCGGCCGCAAGAATCCCTCGCAAGAAAGAAACCAAACCCAGGAAACCCGCGCGCGAGGTGCACCCGAGAGAAGAAACCCGGAGCACCCTGAACGCAACAGCTTCTTCGACAGCCGTGGAAGTCACCGCGCAGCGCGCGGAGCGAAGAAACCCAGGGCACCCTGACGAAAGGCACATGGTTTTCTTCGAGTCAAGAGCAGCGAAATACCTCGCGTCGTGTTTTTTTTCACAACGCGAGGTGGTCTGGGATCAGAGGAGCCTTCTCGGAAGGCCGGGGGGCTTCCAAGCATTCTGAGATAGGCCCGGACCCCCCCTCTCGCTGCCCCCCGGGCTACACGGTTTCTCCTGGGGCCGTAGGCGACCCGAGGAGGAGGAGGAGGAGGAGGAGGAGGAGGAGGAGGAGGAGGAGGAGGAGGAGGAGGAGGAGGAGGAGGAGGAGGAGGAGGGAGGATGAGGAGGAGGGAGGAGTGAGGAGGGAGGAGGCAAGAGGCAGGAGGAGGAGGCAAGAGGCAGGGGGAGGAGGAGGGAGGGAGGGAGGGAGGGAGGGAGGGAGGGAGGGAGGGAGGGAGGGAGGAGGAGGAGAGGAGGAGGAGGAGGAGGAGGAGGAGGAGGAGGGAGGAGGAGGGAGGAGGAGGAGGAGGAGGAGGAGGAGGAGGAGGATGAGGAGGAGGAGGAGGAGGAGGAGGAGGAGGAGGAGGAGGAGGAGGAGGAGGAGGAGGAGGAGGAGGAGGAGGAGGAGGAGGAGGGGTCGCCTAAGCCCTTCGGAGAAACCCTCCACACCCGGGCTCGCCGCCGCTCCTCGTCGGTGTCCGAGTGGCGGTCGCGGTCGGAGCCAGCGGAGGTGTCGCTGCGGGCGGCGAGGGCGCCGTCGCCTGCCAGGTGCACCTTCAGCGGCAGGATGTCCGCGGCGGAGGGGGGGAGGGCCGGTGCAGAGGACGGGTATGCCCAGAGCCCCGGGGCGTCGTGGGGCGGAGATCCTGCGGTTGCTCGCCGTGGGGGCCCTCGATGGGCCCCCCTGGGCTGTCGAACAAGGGCTCAGAAGGAGCAGCCGGTCCCTACAGAGGCTTCGCAGATATCGGGTCGGGGTAGATGGGGTCGGAGGATCGCGCCGCATCGGCGATGCATCGGCGATGCATCGGCGGTGCATCGGTGATGCACCGGCGATGCATCGTCGACGGCGGAGATGCATCGGCGACGTCGACGTGAAGCAAATCAGGCCCCACATCGCGCCGCATCGGCGATGCATCGGCGATGCGGCGCGATCCTCCGACCTCATCCACTCCGACCCCATCCGGGAGGCCTAGAGTCCTGGGCAGCGGGGCGAGGCATCCGGGGGTTGCACGCTGTGCGAAAGTCACACGACGTCGGGGCTCTGGGTCACAGAGGACGAAACCACCGCACAAGCGTAGACTTCCGGAGGTCCGCGCGGACCTCCGAAAGTGTATGGTCGTGTTGTCTTCTCTTCCTCGGATGCTGTGAGCACGGCCACCATGTGTGATTTGTGTTATAGGTTAGAACTTACCTTAGAGTGTTTCCTGTCTGCGGCAGAGCGCTTCTGGAGCAGAACGGCGATGGAATGCCCATGGCGGCGACGACGACGGCGGCGGCGGCGACGACGACGACCTATACACGCCTGCGGAGGCCTCCTGGGGCCCCGAGAGACCAAGCAAGAATGCAAAGCACGTCGAACAACATCGGAACCACCCTGGAAGGGCGACGACCTCGACGACGTCGGCGACGACGACGACGACGACGACGAGGCGTCGCCACCCACCTCTGCCAGGCGATCTGTTTGTCGGTTTTGAGTGTTCTCTTCCCTGGATCGCAAACGCGAGCTGGTTACAGATCGGGGGTTGTCAAAGGCGATCCTGGCCTATGAGATGCCCCCCAGCTTTTCGTGCGATTTTGGAGCTTCTGGTGCTGCCAGGGCCTCATGAAGAGTTCTCTACAGGGGTGTTCATTGAAAAGCAAGGGCCCTTTGGGCCAAGGCTACCTCCAGCAACACCCGAGCAAACGTGATGACGCCATCCTAACCCTGGGATGTACTCTCGACAGGGGGATCCGGAACATCTCAGTGGATAGATTCACCCCTTTCACGTTCGAAGCATGTCGAAAGAATGTCGATCGGGTTATGACTCCTGCGTAGTTCCTTGGAGAAAAAAGTCTGGTAGCCATGTGCAGCGAACACCAATGTGTCAACTTGACTTGTGGTGCATCAAAGTTTTGGCTGTGCATGCTCCAGCGAACATGCGAACTGGAATCGCAACACATTCGAAAAGCATGTCGAACGTGTACACGCTTCCTTGTTTCGCTGTCGTCTCTGCCCTTGGACTCACTTGACGAAAGAGAAGACGGTAAACGTGTCTGCGGCATACCGCGAACCGCGATTACTCATCCCATCGCGCCTGTGTCTCACACTGATGTTTGCAACATGGGGCCCTATATTTTTACCCAGCATGAAACCTGGGCGTGATGGTCGAGCCCTCGTTCGCCATAGGCCATAGGGTCCCGACTCCCAGGTCCATGGGATTGCCTGTCCCGGGCGTGGGAGTGCGGCTACTGTTTCATAAGGTCCCGCCATCTCCAATGCTCCATGAAACGTTTCGTGTTTATACGAGATTGTTCTATGTGGGTGAAGATGTTGCAAACTTATCTCCAGAAATCCAAGCATACCTGTCGCGGGCAGAAGCAACAGTCAACATTGGCGGCATAATCGCGCCGCACCTCAACGCGCTGTTGAGAACTCATACCAGCTCATATTGAAGCCGATTTGTAGATTCATGTGCCTGGACCCAGATTGCCAACACATGTAGTGAAAACATCACTGTACGACCGGCAAGCGCAGGCTGGAAGACAGCGTCTACTGATATCGCTTCTCGTCGAGCGTAGAAGATGTCACGCCATACGCTGGCTCAAAGGCAACACGCAGAGATGCACTCCGAGAGAGGAAGGAGCGAGGGACAGGGGGAAGGAATGGATGTACGAAGCAAGAGGGAAAAAGGAGCAGGAGGAGGGAGAGTGCGCGAAGGAGTGGCCAGCGCAGGAGGGAGGCAGCGAAGTGGACATAGGGGTGGTCAGGACAAGGAAGCAGGAGGGGTGAGCAAGGGGATGCGGTCAGGAATTGTTGCTTCGCGTGTCGCGGCGGCGGCCCCGGAGACACGATGTACCTTGCGGGCGGATAGCGTGTGGCTTCGCTTCGCGGGGCGGGAGGCTGGGCCATGCTCGGGGCGTTAACGCCTGGGGACTGGGACGTGGCCAACGTGCCGCGCCGAGGCGCGGTGGGGCAGAATCGGCGGCGAGCCACGCCGACCAACAGTTCCCGACAGTCGAGGGGCGAAGAGGAAGAGGGATAGAGCACGGTGGAACTGAGGGAGAGAGGAGGATCAGGTGCCGCGCGCCCTCGGCCCAGAGACCCAGGCAACAGCCTTGGCACCCGAGGCAGAACACCACCGAGACCCCTCCCGTCTGTGGTGGAAACCAATGGGTGCCAATGCCGCTACTCCCCCGAACTCTCCCAAGCGCCTTCTGACCAGCATTTCGAGCCGAATCCAGCGGTGGCGACGAGGGCCCCCCGGGAGACCCAACAAGCAAAAGCAAGGCAAAGGTAGCGGCACCGATACCCGCCAATTTGAAGAAGCACGTGGACACATGAAGTCGGAATGCGGATCAAGTAGATTGAACTCGGGCCCGCCGAGAGAATGGCAGAACACATCAAACGCAAATCGCTCATTGGAGCAGGAAGGCGCTTGAAGTAGATTAGGATACAGTGCGGGCGCGGCCGCAAGAAACCCTCGCAAGAAACCCAACACTGCAAACCCGCGCGCGAAATGCACCTCAGGGAAAACCCGGAGCACCCTGAACGCAACAGCCTCTTTGACGGCCGCGGGAAGTCACCACGCAGCGCGCGGAGCGAGGAAACCCAGGGGAGACCCGACGAGAAGCAGATGGTTTCTTGACGTGCGCCCCCACACGCGCTGGCGCGCACAAGCGCCAGGCCGCGCGGCAGCCGTGCGCGGCAGCCGTGCGCGCCACGGCAAGCGCTCTCTGGCATGCCCTCGCGGCGCGCGAGCAGGGGGCGCCCGTCGTACGCCAGGCGCCGTTGTCCAACGCCTCATCATCCTCGTCCTCCCCCCTCCGCTCCCCGCCTCGTCCGGGCACCAGCGCGACCACAACCGAAACGAGCGGTTCCTTCTCCCGTCTCTCCCACAGCCGTACGGGGGCCCATCCGAAGAGAATGTGTCGTTCCCCGGCAGGGTGGCGCCGCCCCTACCAGGGCCCACCGACAAGGCACCCCGCCACCCCTGCACTACTCATCGCCCAAAACGTTGGCAGCACCCGGTCGCCCGGCCTGGGTCCTCGCACGGTCCGCTAAGAGCATGGCTGCCGAGGAGGAAGAAGAGGGGGAGAGCGAGGAGGAGGACCCGTGGATTGTGACAGCTGGGCTCTGGGCAGAGCAGCGACAAGTCTAAAAAAACTGAACGGCACCATGAACGTATTGTTCACCCAAGAGCAAAAGGGAAGACGCGCTGGGCCGACGGCCCCAATAGCATGCACACTCCGGATGTGCATGCCGCAACCCACAAGGCAAGGCTAGCAAACCCATCCGTTGAAAGTCCAGCTTCCGCCCGCGGGGTGCTCAGTTAGAATCGCTCGAGTCGCACCCGCAGCTTTGCGCGGAATGGCGCACGAGCGGGGCTGAATCGTCCTCAGCTCGGGGGGCCTGCACCACTTCCCGAACGTGGCCGCTGCCAGGGGCAACGGCTGAATGAGAAGAAACGGCCCCATGGACAGCATCCTTGGGATCGTGGCTGGAAGCCATAAGTGAGAGCCGGTGCCTCTGGAGCGCCAGAAGTGGCTCGGTATCGTAAAAAATGCCACCTACAAAGATGCAAACCTCAGAACAGCCTCTTTCGGGCCATGTGCCGCGTGGCATGCGCTAGTGGCCCCGTGCACTTATCCAGTCGTCCGTAGAATGCAAAAATGGCGGGGCAACCGCATCTCGCAGAACAAAATGAGCTGACCGTCGGCGCATGCGTCAGCAGAGAGCGCGTGCGAAGGGCGCGCGCGCGCGTCTTAAGCGATCGTAAAAGTCGCCTGAGAGTGCGCGCGCCGATCGTTATGGCGACAATCGGCAGCTTCGCCAGAGTGGCTGAAGACGAAGCACGCAGCACAACGCCAGGGAATACGCTCCGCTCTCCGACAATCGTGGACCAGCGAGAGCTCATATAAACACCTGCTTGGTTGCTCGATCTCCCTTCACGCGGATGTCTTGGCCAAGCCCCCGGCATGCGCGGGGCGAACTTCAGAATGCTAGTGGAGTCCTCCTGCATGTCTTCAAGAACCGACGCGGACGACGGATCGCACGAAGGACGCATCTGGGCGGCCGACTTCGCAGACATACCACTTTGCTTAGGGTCTGAAGTTCGGCGAGCTTTGTTCCCGGCAAATGTTGGACCCCAGGAGCCCAATGGAACCCGTCGGGGCGGCTTCGTCAATGAATGCGGCCCAGACCTTCGGAGCCCATCTCCCGGCTGGCGCCGATGCCCACTTGTCCGCCTCGGACTCGTGCCGGGCGAACGTGACCGACCTGCTCCCCCCTATACACTTCGGCCCCGTGGCCGACAATCCGACGCCGCGAGGCTGCGCAAGACAAGATTCGTGCTTGGCAGACCTGCGTAGGCTGAGCGAGGCGTGGGCCCCTGCTGGCAGGCGCCAACAAGCGACTATTTTACGAGCTCCCTGGCGCGTGACTCCTACTCACTGTTTGAGACGCAGCGCTGTCTGCTACGTCTGTTGCAAATGCCCGCCCCCCCCCTCCCCCCCCCCCCCCCTAGCATCCAGAACGATCGCGGCTGACTTGCCTGCCCAAAAATTCCGACCCCCGTTTGGCGGTTGACTGACGTCGTTTGCCCGCACAGGATCCAAAAGCCATCGAGATGTTCACGCCGAGGTCGGCCGACGCAGCAAAGGGCGACCACGTGTCGACAGACAGGGTGGCGGGGGGGCTAAACTGGGGCATCTCACCCTGAACGCGTTCCCGGCGATGCTCTCGAGCAAAGAAAGGCAGGTCAACACCGTGATGTGAATGGGCATTGCCATCATCGCACTCAAGTCGGCACATTCGCGTCACGACACTCATGGGCCTGATCAGGTATCCAACCAGAGAGAGACTGCTTCGGGCATCTGGACAGCCCTGTCAAATATGCACCACAGGCTCCAAGTCCAAACAACCTGTGCCCGTGTCTTCATGGATCTGTCCCCCGCCGGAAGGCAAGCAGGATGTACGCCGACGATCCGCTGCAATCTCCCTCGCGGGACGCCTCCGACATGGTCGGGGGGGGGGGGGGGGGGGCAGGGCGCGCGGAAGGAAAGCTCAACCGTCGCCGAAAGTTGGCCAGGCGATCCTTCGCGGGTTCGCGGGAAGCTCCTGCACGCCCAAAGAGCGAAAAGGTAAAAGTCTGAAAAAAGGTCGGTGCATCGCAAAAAAATCCCCACCATGCGCCCATTCGTCAAACGATCTCGTCGCCACAGATCCGCCATGATCTCCCTCTCGGGGCGCTTCTGCAACGAACGGGGATAATGCCGACATGTAGACTGCCGTTGAAGTTGACGCAGCGCTGCTCGCCGTAGTCGATGAACTGCAAGGTGGAAAGATTGCGGTGTAGGAGAAGCCGTTCGGTTGCCGCCACATCTGGCCAGTCGCTGGCATGACCATGATCAGTGCGCCGTCTTTGGTGCAATGACAACAAGCTCCACCAGAGTTAAGACGAGACATGCCAGCTGACTAGCGGGTGGAGATGGCGGGAATGAAGCCCCTGGCGTGTGACTCCTATTCACTGTTTTAGACGCAGCGCTGTCTGCTGCGTCTGTTGCAGATGCCTGCCCCCCCCCCCCCCCCTCCCTCCCCACCCTGGCATCCAGAACGATCGCGGCTGACTTGCCTGCCCAAAAACTCCGACCCCCGTTTGGCGGTTGACTGACGTCGTTTGCCCGCACAGGATCCAAAAGCCATCGAGATGTTCACGCCGAGGTCGGCCGACGCAGCAACGGGCGACCACGCGTCGACAGACAGGGTGGCGGGGGGGCTAAACTGGGGCATCTCACCCTGAACGCGTCCCCAGCGATGCTCTCGAGCAAAGAAAGGCAGGTCAACACCGTGATGTGAATGGGCATTGCCATCATCGCACTCAAGTCGGCATATTCGCGTCACGACACTCATGGGCCTGATCAGATATCCAACCAGAGAGAGACTGCTTCGGGCATCTGTACAGCCCTGTCAAATATTCACCACAGGCTCCAAGTCCAAACAACCTGTGCCCGTGTCTTCATGGATCTGCCCCCCGCCGGAAGGCAAGCAGGATATACGCCGACGATCCGCTGCAATCTCCCTCGCGGGACGCCTCCGACATGGTCGGGGGGGGGGGGGGGGGGGGGGCAGGGCGCGCGGAAGGAAAGCTCAACCGTCGCCGAAAGTTGGCCAGGCGATCCTTCGCGGGAAGCTCCTGCACGCCCAAAGAGCGAAAAGGTAAAAGTATGAAAAATGGTCGGTGCATCGCAAAGAAAATTCCCACCATGCGCCCATTCGTCAAACGATCTCGTCGCCAAAGATCCGCCATGATCTCCCTCTCGGGGCGCTTCTGCAACGAACGGGGATAATGCCGACATGTAGACTGCCGTTGAAGTTGACGCAGCGCTGCTCGCCGTAGCCGATGAACTGCAAGGTGGAAAGATTGCGGTGTAGGAGAAGCCGTTCGGTTGCCGCCACATCTGGCCAGTCGCTGGCATGGCCATGATCAGTGCGCCGTCTTTGGTGCAATGACAACAAGCTCCACCAGAGTTAAGACGAGACATGCCAGCTGACTAGCGGGTGGAGATGGCGGGAATGAAGCCCCTGGCGTGTCTCATGGGTCGCGACTCCTCTGCACTTGGCGCGCGCCATGTTCCCGGCGTCCACCTCGTCAAGGATTGCCCTCGGGCATATTTCTTGCATATTCTGCTCTTCGTGATGTCAGGCGTTTGGCGTCTTGCTGCCTTGTCAGATGCGGCCTTTCGACCAGCGCATGTCTCGCGGGTCCAGATTGCGAGTCGCTGACGCGAGACCGCTAACCCGCAGACGGCACGCGTGAGTCGCGGCGCTCGATTCAAACCGTGGGCGCAGCGCCCGGCCGCCGTCCTGTGCGCAGAAGTCGCTTCTCCTCAGCATGCAAATAGTGACCTTTCAGGCCATGCAGCGCTGCTTTCTCTTGTTGCGTCCACTTTGCAGCTGCTGCCGCTGCCGTGATAGGAGATGTTTCTTAAGTCGTGGGCATCTGGAAGCAGCTGCAATCAGCGCTTGCCCTTCCAGAGTGGCAGCCAAACTCGGAGGGCGCAGCATGGGGGATTGCCAAGTCGGCGGCGGCGCGCTTTGATAACATCAATAGTTTAGGGCCCCCAGACTGCTAGGGCCCCCCGGAGCACAAGGGCCCCTCCACAGGACAACAAGGCCCCCGCCCCCCCCCCCCCCCCCGCGGGCTACGCCCCCCCCCGCCCTGGACTACAAGGGCCCCCGCCGCGAGGCCCGACCTACTGAGGCCCGCCTGCAAGGCCCCCCCCCCGGACTGCAGTCGGCCCCGCCCAGCGCGGGCGGCGCCGCGGGTTGACGGCGACGGGCGTCGGGGCCGTTGTCTCGGAGAAGGGCTCCTCGCACCAGAGCGCGCGCGCGTTGCAGCGGCGGAATCGCCGCGCTCCTCGCCGCCGGGATTGCGCGCGAGCCAGCGCAAAGCGCAGTAGAGCTGCTTTGCCCCCTAGACTACATCACCTCCCAGCCCCTGACTTCAAGGGGCCCCCCCCCTACAAGGCCCCCCCAAGGGGCCACCCGGAACCGCGCCCGGACCCCCCCCCCCCCCGGACTACAGAGGCCATCCAGGGTCGCCCCAAATCAATCGAGGCATTCAGCAGGGTACTCCTCCATGCTGGCACGGCAGCTGCAGACGAAGATGGAGCGATGGTAACCCGAAGAGCGCGCTGCTTTGCATGGCGCGCCTGGGCGCGAGCTCCACTTGGCATAGGGCAGACACGCGCGTCGCCGCTGCGCGAGAGCACCTGCCCATTCTCTCCCTGCAGGGCGACGTTTTTCCGGGTCTTCGCTGGGCCTGCAAGGCGGGGTGCCGGTCGCGATCGCGAGGTCGTTCGAGAGCTTCCATCCACGTCAAACAACTCGTGTAAATCTTGGCGCCGTCACACATCCACTGACATCGCGTCAAGAACCATGGCAACGCTGGGAACATCTGCTGCTGACACGCCCGATCATCTGCCAGACTATGGCCAGGAATCGCGGGGGTCAATTTCCACGGCGCCCCCGTGAAATTCACAGCACGTTGTGCCGCGGGGCCCCACTCATATCCAGGAGAGGTAATCTTCGGCAACCGCTCCGCTGGTTTCGCCGTCGCATCGGGGCCAGCTGGCGTAGGCGATGATCACTGCCGCAAGCCGCCTGGCGGCCTTCACGAGCTCCATAGAAGTGCCCTTGCTCGAGACAGAAGCAGCGAGGGAGAAAGCGCCAGGGCAGCGGACAAAGTAGATGGCAGAGTTGAGGAAGGTGGTCCGGAACAACCCCGGGCGTGGCATATGCGAATGGCAGACGAGCTGCCAGTCACTGGAAACTGCTCGACTGCATCTCACAAGCCTGGCAGAGTCATGAGCGGCAATGTAGAGCTGCGACGCATGAGAATTGAAACCCAACTCTAGGCCGCCATCTGGCAGCCTGCCCCTGCAAACTTTTCGAGGGGAAGCCAACTGAGGTCTTGCCAGAGGCCTGCTAGGACTCGCCCCAAAGGCTCTACCTCGAGACAGCATCAAGTGAAAGGGCACCTCGGGTCGCAACTGAACCGTGAACGATGAAACGCTGTCAACCAAGACCAAGCACTGAGTTGCGTCATCTTCCCAACAAAAACAATCAAACTGCTGGGGGTCCCAATTTCACGGTGCCCCTCGCAGGCCTTCGGAAGGAACGCCACGGGTGCGCATTGAAACTGCAGGGGCCAATCTCGAAGATATTCCTATGTCCCAAGAATTGAAAATGCAAGCCTGGACCCCAGCCCCCGCCAAGAAAAATAAATGCCTGCGCCGCCCAGACCCACCGCGAACCGCATGGAGTAATATTCGCCGGTGTCCTGCACTGCTGACGCCGACTGCAATGGCAGACTGCGCGATGGCGCGGCTCGTCGGTAGCCTTCCGAAGCGCGTCGCATTTTCGGCCGCGCTTGTCAACTGGCACCTGCGCGCCGTTCGACCACCTCCCCGCCGCAGAATGCGCAGACCCCCACTTGGCCTGCTCATTGCAATCGCTGCTCTAGCGTCGCCGACCGCCGCGTCAAGCTCCTGTCCCAGCTCGAACGCAACGGCGCTCCTATTCTCACCGCGCAACCCAGAGGCGCCGCGAGGGCAAATGCGCATCCGCTCGGCTAGACCGACCGGGCGTGCTCAAGAACAAGGCGGGGCTTGGGACTTGCACTCTAAAAGGCAGAGCTGATCAATATCTCGCCATCTGCACCCCCACCCCCCTTCCGGCCGGGAGGCGTGATGCGAGCTGACCTAAAACTGGAGCAAGCGCATGATGCGCGTCGCTTGCCACACTTTACCATGGGCAACAACTGCGTAGCATTTGCGCACTGGGGCCCGCTGAACAAGAAGGGAGAGACGCGGCTTCGGCAACAGACCTCGACATCCCGGTGCGAAATCGATCTCGATCTCGACCCGATCGACTCCTTGTTTGATCTCCTATCCGCCACCTACCCATCCGCCCTGTGCGCCCACTAACGGTCGATGGCCCCCAAAGATCCCCTCTCCCCATGCAGGTCTAGCCGAGCCCGCCAGTCCGTGTTGCTGAAGGAAAAGCTGTTCGCATCGCTGTTGAGGGTCCATTCCGTCGACCTGCGAGGCGCCGATCTCGTCGGCTTCCCTGGGCAACTGGCACGGCAAGTCGGGCGCTGTGTCGAACTGCATAATGCTGACCGCAATGCGGGCCTGATGCGCACGGGGCGGCAGTCCCGCCCTCGCTGGCACGCGAGGCCCGACATGCCAACCGAAATCCGGAGATGCCGAGGTGGCCAACATGGCCGATTCAGCCTCCAAGACGCAATAACCTACGACCCCAACCTTGCTCATGTCGGAGAGGGGTGTTTCAGTGGCCAATGCTCGAGCCGCGATCGCGTCTGAAAACAATGGAGATGCCAGAGCCTCGTGCCTCATGGGGCACATGTGCAATGCCCCCCCCCCCCCCCCCCCCATCATGAACTGCGCGCTCGAGGCTGCGCAGCGGGCGCCGACCCTTTCCCAAATCCCCGGGCTTGCGATGGGAAGGCCTTCTGAAACTCCCCCATGGGCCGAGGCGCAGAGCGCCCGCGGGACCCCTGAGAACCCCACCACAACAGACGCAGCCCTGCCGCGACGGGGAATATAGTCGGCAAGGGAAGGGGGCGGATCTAAAGAGCAGGCGCCCGGGGCGGCCCTCGCAATGGCTGCCGCCCCGCGAGGGGCGCCGTCGCCCCCGAGGCCATTGCGACTGGGGCGGGCCGCGCCAGAGGGGCGCGCACAAATATATGCCCCCCCCCCCCCCCCCCCCCGCTGCGCCGCATGGGGAGCGGGGGCCGCGATCGCGGTCAACTGCTGCATCTCCTGATCCACTCGCCGCTCACGCTGCCACAACGAGCGGCGGAGTAGGCGCCGACGCCTCTTCGCCGCCGAAACTGCAGCGGCCTCGGGGAGCCGAGCGCTGATGCAGGCGGTGATTGCGCGGCCCGGGGCGGCGGAGCTTTGCCCCGCTTGATGATTTCATCCTTCTTGGCTGCCCACGCCGTCTCCTTCCCCTTCGGGGCGATGGCCTCGAGCGCCCCGGGGCGCAGCTGCCGCTGGCGCGCGCGGCTACAGGAGCGCCCACCTCCAACTCCCCCATCGGCCTTTGCATCCCCCTCGAACTTGCTGGCAAGCTGCTGGGCAGCGGCCGCGCGCCGTGCAATCTCGTGGTCCTTCGGGGCCAAGGCGGCCGGGATCTCGAGCGAAACCTTGATGGACTGGCTGTCCCGAGGCGTGCCCTCGCCGTGGCCGCCCGGGCAAGCAACTGCTGTTCCCGTTCAACATCGAGCTGCTTCTGCGCCTCGCCGAGGCGCAACTGCACATGGTTTCCATCGCCGCGAGTAGACTCAAGAAACGTCTCCACGTGGCTGGTGCGCGTTATGTTATTCAAGTGATGTTTGCGCAGCTTGTCGCATGTGTCTGCGGCGCGCTGGACACGAACTGTTGCTGGCTGGAATTGGTCGCGATGGGCAGGCGCGCTGCGGCCTGCTCCTTGAGTGAGTTGCGCCAACTTGAGCTTGAAGGCTGCGATGCCCTGGTGGCCAGGAAGCAGCAACTATTCGCTGACTGAGCTCGCGGAGGCGATGTACTTCTCGAGGGGGTCAATATGGCTTCAGAGGTTTTCAGCTGGAGCAGGCTCTGCCTTCTCCTCATCGGCATCATCAGCTGGCTGTGAGCGGGGTGGTGTTCCCACTCCCCCGCAACGATTCTGGCAGCACTTGAACAAATGACTTTGGCCTGGCTGGCCGTTGTTAGCTGGCGATGCACCGCCTGCTCTTGAATCGTGTTCCATCCCTTTTCCTGTCTTCTGCGGCCATCAATTAGCCGGCTGGAGCCCGGCACCGCAAATCCTGCATTGGCGAATGCCACTGTCAAGGAAAACCCAACGGCGAGGACCGCAGTGCTGACGCACAACCCAGCGCCTTGGCTTGCCGCCCGCCATGACGCGGACTGGTTGCTGGGAGGAGGGTGGACGTTGCGAGGGTGCCCCTGCGGCTGCCTCTGGGCAACTACAGGGACAGGGAAGGCCTTTAACCAAAATGGCTACGGACCACACCCCGTCCAAACTCCCACAGAGACACGAAAGACGAACCGTGTCCTCGCCACTCTGGCTTCCCCGTCATTCTTCCCCTCCCCCCTCTCAAACACCAACTGCTC